AAAAAAAATCAGTCTTCCATCATGTTCCTGAACGGAGATATATGCAAAACAAAAAAATGTCGTTAAACTTTTGGCTCACTCGGTATAGGCATCATCCATAAAAATTCTAATCATTTTCCTTAACTTATAGGTTTTCCATCATTGCAGTGTATGCTGTAGAAAATTTCGAATTCTAATATTGTTCTGATTAAATTTGGACGATATCAAAAAGCCTTTACCGCTATCCATACGAGATTAAAATATAAAACACAATGCATTTAGTTTAAATGGGTGGAGAAATTGAACAACATCTATTATGGCTAGTAACGAGACGAAAACCTAGCATGTAGAAAAATCTTTTTAGCATTATACAATGTAATAGAAATTCTCGCATATAAATGTCATGTTCTGCAGAGAAGCTGAGTTAGTTCACTTTTCTGTCTACATACTTCGACACTCTTTAGGGGTCATATTTCGCAAAATTTAACTAAATCAAGTTTAATTGATGTTAAAGAGTTGAAAATATAGAGCTATTTTCGAAACTGAGTCCTAGTGGTCGTCAGATATAGAATTTTAGTAGCAAAATTTTCAAAGGTAGACCTAAAGTTTCCGTTCTTCAAGGTTGATGATCTTTGACGAACTTTAATGCAAATGTATCAAAGCTTAATTTTGATAATCTCTTTGCCGGAACAGACTATGGAGGGTTTGAAATTGAGTACAACCAAAGCTGGAAAGTTCGAATCTGGTGCATACTTGATCAAAATCTCAAAGTAGCAAAAAAAGAAAACCAATGGTTTGAGTGAGATTTGGGTTTTCGTAAACGACAAGTACTCTCTTTCATTAGTGATTGCCAAGCCTGCATTGTGCAACCGAAGCCATGTGTAAGTGGATCATACAAAGATGCACCTGGTATTGGTCCGTGCACAGTCTGCCCGCCAGGATCAAAAAATCCTGGTGGTTATCCATCATCCCATTGTCAACCATGTAATCCGATGTTGTTCTGTCCACGTGGTGCTAGCGATGAGGTCAATCTCAAAGAATTTTTGTCGTATGATCAAACATTTTCTTATCCAGATTCACCTATTATCGACAATTATGATGATCTATTAATACTTAACTTCTTAAATATCGATCACAAGGTTCATTGCATGGTCACTTCACCACTTTTTTGGGCTGCTCTGGCCATAATACTGAGTTTCATTGTCTGGTTGCTTATGTTTCTCGTCAAAATACGACAGATACGCACTATTAGTATCTATCGCGAACGAGTTAAATGCATTCTCAAGAAAATCGATCTGATTGGAAAAGGAGGGCGCTTGATAGGTGGTCTTATATCATTTGTTGGATTTATTCTTATTATATTTTCTTGTTGGTTTGCCTACGACTATTTTCATTCGTATCCAATAGAGACAGCAACAACTTACCGTAAATTATGCAAAAATAATCAACTGAATACCAAATTTTATAATGGTCTCCAGCTACCGTTACCAGAAAGAGATGGCACTCTATGGAAAATTTTCGACATGCTCAATCTTCAAAATTTTACAATGACTGTCTATCTAATAAATACCAAAACACAATGTAATGATATCATCGTTGAACGCATAAGATACAGAGGTACTCCACAACTTTCGAAGATAACAAATTGTAGCCTTTCCAATAGCCATCCTACTGTATCATTCAGTTTTGATTTGCGTACCCATACAGACACTGTTCAAGTCAAAATCAACGGGCCTTACTTCATCGGAGCTCTTCGACTTTGTCTCTATGGATCACCATGTGTTGAAGATGTTCCATCTGGAGTCCATCGTTTAGGCGAACTTGATATCTGTACCCTTTTCTATACAAATAATCAAACAATCGGACTCTCAACCAACTTTAATGTACGTCTCATCAAAGTTGTTAATATCACAGAGCCATTAAGAAGTGAAGATAAAATAGTTTTGGATGGCAGATGGGCGCCAACTATAAAACATACTGATGATCTCTCAGATAATCTCTATTTTGAGAAAGAAGGACAGTATTTACGCTATGCTTCGAATATTACAACGTTCATTGTTCAGTTCAAAAAAGAAACTTATTTTCTTGAAAACATACAATCACCAATCATTCGTCTTCGTGCACTTGTCTTTCACACACTTCTCTTCTTTTCATTACTTACCGAAATTGTTGCTATTGTATTCCTCATTTTCAAACGCTGCTGTTGGCCTCTTTTTCAACGGCTTCTTTCATCATTCGACGATAATGCTCTCAAACAAGATTTAAGAATGAATCATACTCAAGCGATTATCGACGTAAGTGAGCATGTTTTCGTCATTATACTTTGACAAATAATCAAGGTTGCTTAGGTTTCGCGAACAAAACTGATCAGTGTCTATCCAATAGTCTAACTGTAAAAACGAATGAGTAGTTATTCTCAGTGTTCATACTATATGGAACTAATACAACAAGTCAGAGCAGATATGGTACAATGTTGCTATGTAGAACGCTTCCTCGTGAATTAGAAAAGATTATCAACTAACTGATTGATCAATTATAAGAAACAGAATTTCGGCTTTTGATTTTAAAATCCTCAGTTCTCCTATAGATTTCTGAAGAATCCAAAATCAACTAACTTTTCGATGGGCTCTTACGAAAAAAAGCTTATTCTCTTTCTATTTTGGAATGTGAAATATTTGTTATTATTTTATATTTGACTCAGTCTTTCTACAAGTCCTTCTGCTCCAGAGGAAAAGTCGAAAAGAAAGAGAGATATGACAAAAATTTGACGCTATTGATAGGCGACCATAGTATATCAAGGTGACTTCTTGGCAGCAAAAGAAAGAAGTAGAAGAGATTAAATCTAGAAAAATGCTGAAAACCTTAGCACTATTTCTCAATAACATCTATGAAGTGCTTAAAATAATGCTTTCAGAAACAATTGAGTTAAACATAATCGTAAAGGTTTTCTAAACATTCTACTGTTTTGAGAAAACTTTGCTGCCAATACCTTATCATTAAATCATATCCGAGCTTTTGCATAATGTATACTGACGATCATCACCGTTAAAAATTTTCTACTGTATTTTAAACTTAAATCGTAGTCATATTGAAATGTTTTGAAAGTCTAAATTTTTTAAATTCTTCATGTACACTATTCGATGAAAAATTTAATTGAGACACAGATTCTGAATCAATGTTAAATGTACATCATTGGAACAAACACGTAAATGATGTTTTTACAAAGAGAATGATTTGTGATGACAAGTCTTTCTAATTTTTGTTGTTAGTCTATGTTACAACCAGTACAATCACCAAAATTAGAAGTGCCCCTCATGTCAGCGAGTGAAAATGCTCAGCCGAGTGAAAATTTTGGATGGGATCTGGCAAATAAAACCGATCGAAATCTTCATTGTTGTCGTTGCACAAAGAATAATCGAAAAGCTTTAACAGGACCTCTATCAATAGAACAACTGCGACCTCGATCATCCCAACCAATGAGTAAGTATACGTTTTCCATGAAACTCACACATAAAAAAAATGAAATTTAAACTCAGCGCTTGTGCTCATTTTACTCTTAGGGTCAGAGCAAAGGTCAAATATATGTTCATTAACGTTCGAGACCGTACATTATAATGTTCTAATTACCATGAGACACTGCAAGAACGCCACTTCAAGTCCATGTAAGAGACATTATAACATGCGATAGTACTCGGCGACAACAAAATAAATTGAATTAGCCAATGTAATACATCATCATCAGATCAGTACGACAAGACAATATAAAGAGAGCTAATGAAAAATAATAACAGTAAAAAAGAAAGAAAGAGAAAATAAATTGAAAACATTTGTACTCAGAGAAGAAGACCAAGAAATAAAGAGTGTGTAGAAAATTTCCGAGGTGATTAATGAATAGACTAGAGCTTTGTCCTACCTATCATATAAAAAGCCGAATATATTTTAAAATGTTCATTTTTTCTATAGCACCTTAATTAGACAGACGGACATTCATATTTTATGCATAGATATTCTTTTGACTATACCTTCTAAATACAAAAGTCGTTAGGAAGTGGAATCTGTACAAAGTTTCGTTAGAATTTTATACATCGCCGTTCATATGATGCCGGAGTGCCGACAATTTTTTTCACCAATTTCTTGAAAGCTTTTGACCCGTAGTCTACAGAGCAGACATGTCTTTGTTTGTAACCTAAATGAATATAATTCAATCTTATCTCTAGCCCGAGATCCTCTCCCATTAACGATGGTATCAACTGCTGAAATTCTTGACTCATCTGAACATTCTGACGTTGAACATTTACTTGAACACTTCGACAAACGCCTTGACGCCTTACACAACGAAATTGATGAATTAAATAGACAAATGACTTATCTCAGACAGCGTTCAGCTAACACTCGGCAAGATCAGCAGGAATAAGCACGGTGATCATTCCGATTTTTCTTCATCAAAAACAGCGATAATGAACAGAAGCACTTAGACAAAAAACAAACGCACAAGAATTATATTTTTGTCACTGGATACATCGACACACACTTGCTTCTCCTGTGAATCAGGACGTGGGTGTGGGCGTGGCCATAGGTTGTGTTAAGTGTGAACAAAATATTTTTTCATCTACACAAATTCACATCCGACGAACCCGATCATCCCTACAATCACAGTAACATCCACAACCTATAGTTATACCCCATTTTTCTGCTTGCTTTTTACTATTCGAAAAATATAAGTTTTACAGAATGTTGGGAAAAAGAATTCCTCTAGATGGAATTAAGTATTGTGTACTCCTAATCTATATCTAGCCGAATTTTAGAAAATCATGGAGGTAATCACCTACTCAAAGAGAGAAAACATGCGTTTAACCAGCTAAATCATGCGGGTATGGGTGTGAGTGTTAGCGTGTAGTTGGGTGTGGATGTGTGATTCAGAAGAATATCCACACTCATACTATCTCTCATGTCTCACATCCACACCCCACACCCTGTTATCGAATAAGATGCTGGATTTTTTCGTAGAATCTAGTTTGCTATTCTTGATAATCACAATGTCGTCAAGACTTAAATCCGGACGGAACATATTGTTCGCGAATTTTACATGAAAGAAGTAATGGACAGGTCACATTGAGTGATGTTGCAATTTGTTATCTGACTTCGTGTCGTTATGAAGGACAATGCTGAGACTTAATTCACTCTGTAAGATGACTACTTCAGGCCAATTCATTGGTATTCATCGGCAGCACCCGATTTCCGTTTCATAGTGTAAGGCAGCTTATTTGCCATTCTATGCTGTTTTTGCTTAATGGTTGCAATAATAGTCTTTACTAATTTCTTTTTATCTATGTCAGCAATAAGAAACAAAGAAAAGAGAACAGACATTCGCCGAGAAAGAGGTAGAGAAGAACGCCAAATGCTTTTTTTTTATTCGAAGGTAGGCGAATGTGCTAACATCCTTTTGTGCTGATATTAATAATGCCAGGTGATACTCCTGTGACAAATTACTACAAGATACTTTATTTGACGGTATCAACCCATATTAACGACTTCATCAAAACATAGGTTTCTATCTTTGGATAAGGATTATCATAAAGAAGAACTTTTATTTAGTGTGCATATACTAGGAAAGGTTGTTTCAGACATGTATGAGCCTTAAGTATGGTTCAACTTTTAAAAAAATGTTTTCAAGCTCCACATGGTTGTTTGCCTGTGCAACCATATCCAGCTTGTCCATCGCAAGCGTAAACAACAAATGTTGATACTGCATATTGCCAATCATATCCACCACCATTTGCAGTAATTGCATATGTGCAACAACCATAATCAACAAACGACATATCAACTTGCTGTGGTTGTTGCCAATTATTTCGATCAAAAACAATGGTGTTGAATTCAGCACATCGCGTACCATTGTAATACCAACTTGGTTGGACTTTAAACTCAACTTTGACTTGATCACCTAGTGAATGAACTGGTGGTGTGTTTAATTTTAGTGTAAAATGATCTTGACCATCTGGAGTAACCACAAATCCGTGTATGGGCTCTACATTGAAGCCTAAAAATAGTATCACATGTAAATGCTGATAAGTAGCTGAGAACTGTACTTTACCTGTGTTTGCATTGCCACAATAGGAAGGCCATTGATCAGGTAGATCGAATAAATGTTCAGCTTCTGATGGAATACCATGTGTAAATGACAGATATACTGTATTTACGTATCTATGTACAAGAAGGCAATTCTTTACTCTCTCTCTCTCTAGGCGTGCGATATACGCTTACGCATCAGAGTCATATGTATTTGGAAGAGCACCATGCGCTTGAATAGTTTTAACTGGTCTATCTTGTGTCTCAAAATAGCTTAAACATGGAACTTTGCCAATTCCAGATTGTTGTAAATCACATATTTCTGGCGAATCGTATCTCTAAAATTATAAGTCTCTTTATTACATGTCATTTACTCGCATAGTCAATGGATTCAGAATCTCAAGTACTTGTGCATTTATTGATGTTAACCACTTAACTTCTCAAGATGTTTCTACAGAAAAAGGCAATAACTATCCTATGCAAAACTGAAAACGGTAGGGCAAGACACAAAAACCAATTAGCACCAACTCTAGCAAGGTTCTTTAAAGTACGACATCCTTCATCTGCTACATATACTCCAGAATCGTCATCTTAATTTTCGTCATGGTATAGAAGTACTTGACCTGAAAATAACTGAAAAGGCAGAAGGTGTTCACAGTGATCTACTCATCATTTGAAATCAGAATAGATTGCTTTTCTGGCACTAGGTTGACATACCGTTGCATAATCATGAATTTCTGGAATCCATTCTTTACCCTTATTGATAAGATTCGATGGTAATGGAAACCATGGTTGAATTTTAAATTGACTTTCAGGATTCGAATACCATGTGAATGGGAATGGGCCTATATCACCCATTGAGTTTGTTCTATACCAACAGTTGTTCTTCAAAGAATAAAAAAATATTTAATGAGAAAAACAGGCAACATTGTTTTCTTCTTACTTTTGTCCATTGTGGATAATCAGGATTGAAATTGAACATTGTATAATCCTGAGAAGCTGGCTACGAAAAAGTTTGATGTTTAATCTTTTTTCCGTAGAGAACGATGGATTTTTTACTTACTGAATCTGCTTCAGCACCGTCGGGTTTGTATATCACCATATAAGTTTCATTTTGTTTTGCTTGCCATCCTTCGATATCAAAACGAACTCTTCCATTTGTATAATCATACAGTAATTGTTGACCGCCGTGAGTTGGTGTTTGCCATGAATATAATCCACTTATATTCAATGTTGTTTGAAATTGTCTTGGAAAACCAATTTGACTTGAACATTGATTAATGAATAGAATCCAAAGCATTAAGGAAATAGGTTGCCTCATTTTTTCGAACCTTTCGTTTTTCACATGCAATGATGTCAAGAAAAAAACAATCTTTATATATTTCTTCAAGAGAATATGACGAATAGAAATGACCTTGACGTGCAAATGTTTCTGTTCTCATCATCATGATGGATATCGGGTTATGATTAGAATTGTAATACGATATATCACTTTGATCATGGCTTAAGTTAAATACTCCAATTTTATTTTATAAGACCTTAGTAATTGCATACTTTGTATATCAGAGAGAGGGCGATCTATGCTCATGTGAATCGGAAGCATGCATAATAATCTGTATAGAAATGTTTGAAAAAAATATGAGTGAACAATATTCCTATCATTAACTGATGCCGCAAGGTCGAATTTCAACAGATTATGTCACTCGACTGGCAGTATTTTAGAAGCGAAAACGGGTGTGAATATGGATGAGTAGAGCAACCATAATGTTAGCATTTCATCTATGCAACTAGCATCATCAGATGATACTCATCTCGATTCCATTCTAAATCTTGAGGGTGTATAGGGATGCACCGATTCTAATTCCACCAATTCCAATTTCCGGAATTGGTCGGAATTGGAAAAATCGTAATAGATTTAATTGTTTTTCGAACGGAGAAAAACCATCTTATTCACTTTTCATTTTCTATGAATGTCGTCTGGCAAATGCAAACTTCTTTCAAATACGCATTTCGCATTAGCAAGCGGGGGTCCAAACCATGTGAATGTGTATGGCATGTGCAATGATAATGTGAATATTACTATTAGAGGCACCCTCCATGATGTTTTTTTTTATCAGCTATGCGTCACATACAATAGTAACAACACAAAACTGTGTTTATATCTTGACTTACAAGAGCCAACTTGTGTGATTCGAGAGAATTCCCATCACAATACGGCTCTAGGTGATGTGCGCATTGGCTGATGGTCCGATCGTAATCGTCAATTTACTGCGAAGCATGATGGACTAATAAGATCAGCGTTATTTTTTGACAGAGCAATCCCACACAGTTGTGTTAGAGAAGAATTCAATATTTACTAATAAAAGTATGCTTCATATATCGTTCAGTTGTAGGATAGTATTACCGAAATGACCTGATCTAATTCTGAATACTTATAATTTATGCAAACACTCAAGTTTTCGAGTTATAAAAAAAACTACTTTCACTAAAAGTCAAACCTCGACGAGTTAATCCAATTTGAGTCAAGACTTGGTAGCAAATGATGATAAAATGATCTCTGCAAGTGTTTTTCAAAGTGAGAGTCAATCATCTCCTACATTTTTCCAATTTGGTTCAAAGTCTACTGGCACCTCTGAAACATTCGATGGATACAGGCTCTTCTCATATTTTTTCTCATTGACTATACCATACTGAGCGTAGCGTGTAACGAAATTATGTCGAGTGATCATCCAGGGTGTGGGTGTGGGTGAAAAGAGTATCATCATCTACACCCACACTCAAACTTTTATCATTTGCCCAATATGATTTTGTGATATAGACAGATGAGATAAATATTTGAATTAGATATAAACGATTATGCTCTGTAGTTTCTACATCCTAGCTTTACCTGTGTCTGCACTATGTAGGTTGACAATGTTATGTGCCAAACTCTAATCAATGATTGTCTTTCCGACAATACCCAGTGTTTTGAGATGCATTTTTATTATATATATTCTTCAATATGTATCCACTGCGTGTAACTATTTCAATGCGTATGCACCTGACAAACGCTAAGTAATCATGAACGCCAGTGCTGTATTGAATAGGACAAGAATAAGAGAATTACCAAGATTATCATTTATTTCTTTTTGTGATTCATCCAATTGAGTTTTGTACTTGATCCACAGTATTGTCGATCGACTATCGAGTTTCGACTCGGTAATAAGCAATAACGCCGACGCATGGCATGTCGTCAATCATCATTCTATTTCCTCTCACTCAAAGTCACTCGATAGGCAAGAAGCAAAAGGACAACGATAGGTTTTCCACAAAACATTTTTGACAGTTCGTGGAATGTTGAATGTTGGATGAGATTTACCTTGGATTTTGAACACACAGACAAATAGATACCAACTGTTTTGATTATGAAACTATGAATTCATTTTGTTCTTAATATACTCTATGCTATGCGACATCAAGGAAAACATGATATATCTTTTCTACTTGAGTAAATTGGGTGGGTGTGGGTGCGTATGGATGTGGTGCGGGTGTTGGTGTCATTGAAGTAAATCTTCGCACCCACATTCACACCCTATACAACCAGACCCACACCCCAGCTCTAATTATATTTTGGAAGATCTTACTCACTTTGCTCGGAGGTATTATTAGATTTCTTGACAAGATCATTCCAGAATTTTCTAAACAGAGCAGAACAGAAATGAATACAACGAATATCCATCTCTAGATCTTAACTATACGAACAGATCAACTTATACAGCTAGATTGTAGTATGTTATTGTACATAATTTTGATCTTCGAGATTTTAAGAGAGAATCCGTCAGAAGATCACTCTATCTTAACTAAATGTAGCTGAACAAATTTATTTTTCGCTTTTATTATATCAAATGAAATGTTTATTCAAATTACAGTTAAATCTTTAATATTAGTTCACTAGCGTGAGTCCGTGTATACTGCACGCTTATTTGTTTTTCCTTTAATGTATGACCTCAAAGCCTTGATCTTTCATCTAGTAAGAGTCATACAGAGACTCCCACATTATGTATATAGATAGTCCTACGGCCTCATATTCTTATATCACTCATATTTTTATAATCCACGTAGCCTTCGGCCTTATAGCTTTATGTCCCTTTCATCGGGTGGGCCATAAAGAATTGCCGTCTTGGTACTTTTCAGATTTCTTCTCTATTATCCCTATGATTAAAACACTGTTTATTATCAAAAGATAGCGCTTGAAATTCTCTACAAAATCATATATGGCAAGATCCAAAAACTGTTTTAGATATATTTTGGCAAAAGATAAAAAATAAAGACATACAAAAAGCTGTAAAACGTAACTGGTTGGACATAATGAATGGGCATGCTTTGCATGTGATGTTTTCATTACTGCACTCTATTAAAAAATAAAATATACCAAAAGATGCAATATGAAAAGCTCTACCATATGCATAAGATCGTTTATTTTTTTGGTGCACTTTTGTTTTCAAAATAGACAAATTTTGACAATGCGACAATAATCTCTTTTTTGGTTCAAGATGAGTTCGTTGTTTCTTATTTTATATTCTTATTATCTGATATGTTCGATTTTAAAAAAAGGAAAATACACCATAAGACGCAGAGTGAAAAGCTCTACAATTTAAAAAGAACAAGTTATAAAAAGAGGAACTACGAAAAAATCGAATTCATCTTGTACCAAAAATATATATCGTTTTGGCACGTCGAAATTTGATCGCTCAAAATTTTTTCTATTTTGAAAGCAAAATGTGCAACAAAAATAAGCGGTCTTATGTAAATTGTAGAACTTTTCACGTTGTATCTTGTGGTACATTTTTTTTTTCTAATAGGGAGAAGGAAGTGACGCAAACATCATATGCAAAGCGTGCCTATTCATTATGTTCAATCAGTTACATTATACAGCTTTTTGTGTCTTTATTTTTCATCTTTTGCCAAGTATATCTAAAACAGTTATTGGAACTTGTCATATATGATTTTGTAGAGAATTTCAAGTGCTATCTTTCTATAAAAAACATTGTTTTGATCACAGGAATAATAGAGAAATCTTAAAAATACCAAGAGGGCAATTCTTTATGATCCATTCTTTAGCTCTTGTAGTCTTATCCTCTTATTGCCTTACTCACTTCAGGGCCTATGGATACTCCCATATGACGGTCCTTGAGGACGTGAAGCTACCCCACGTGATAGGCCTTGGAGATCGTTTCCTTATAGCCTTATTCGACTTTTAACCTTTACTCTTTGATCCGACACAGACACACACACACACACACACAGATAGACACTGAACATTATATATATAGATTTGCTTTTACCTGTGACAAACTCGAGTTGAAACAAGCATAAAAAGACTAGAGCATTCAGTGCGATGCCTTCTGGCCACACTTTCAACAAATTCACTCCAGATATTCCACTATTTTTCGTTTTTTCCCTCAATATATATGAAAATAGTATTTCCAATTTGTTCACTTATTTCTAAGATGACACAGCACACCAAATTCTTCACCTCTATTTGGACTCAAATTATCCAAGTGAATAAGAGTATCAACCGAAGATATTTCATTTGAGAATAATTTCTCTAACACTATGGTACAATGCCATTCATTTATCTCTATAGAAAGACATTTTTATTAGCTGTTTTCAATCTGATCATGATCAAGAAGAAGTGACCTAATTCGAATTATTATTATAACGGAGATCAAA